GATGAAGAAATCTTGAAGATTTATTAGTTAATGGTCCAAGTCGGACCGAAATATCGCCAAAAGTTTCAGTCTTTTATGTGCTGGTTATTTTTGTATGTTTAGACGTTTCGGTCCCTCCTGAATAGACGTTTCGGTCCCTCCTGAATAGACGTTTCGGTCCCTCCTGAATTATGCAACTATTATTATTCGGCCTGAATAGGCAACTAACATTCGTTCTTAACCAAGAAACACTGTATGACCCTAGAGGGTTTAGCGCTTACTTATGATTATAATCTTAATGAAGCAATTACTTAAGCAAATAATTAAGGAGTAAATAGTGATAGAGATTCCTAAGAATAGTTTTGGAGGTTAGACTTCAAAGTTCGCTGGCAAATTCCTAAAAGAGTTCGGCTATAAACTCATTAGGGAAACGAAGACCCCAGAGCAGCATCTCAGTGTTAAGATTCAGAAAGTTAATACTTGAAGCATCCCCGCCTCTGAGGAACTGTGTGTAAAACTTACTAAACTGGTGTGTGTGTGTGTGTGTGTGTTTTGTGTGTGTGTGTGTGTGTGTGTGTGTGTGTGTGTGTGTGATGTGTGTGTGTGTGTTTGTGTGTGGGTGTGTGTGTGTTTGTGTGTACTCACCTAATTGTGGTTGCAGGGGTCGAGACTCAGCTCCTGGCCCCGCCTCTTCACTGATCGCTACTGGGTCCTCTCTCTCTCTGCTTCCTGAGCTTTGTCATACCTCTTCTTAAAACTATGTATGGTTCCTGCCTCCACTACTTCACTTGCTAGGCTATTCCACTTGTTGACAACTCTATGACTGAAGAAATACTTCTTAATGTCCCTGTGACTCGTCTGAGTCTTCAGCTTCCAGTTGTGACCCCTTGTCCCTGTGTCCCCTCTCTGGAATATCCTATCTCTGTCCACCTTGTCTATTCCCCGCAGTATCTTGTATGTCGTTATCATGTCTCCCCTGACCCTTCTGTCCTCCAGTGTCGTCAGTCCGATTTCCCTTAACCTTTCCTCGTACGACATTCCCTTGAGCTCTGGGACTAGCCTTGTTGCAAACCTTTGTACTTTCTCTAACTTCTTGACGTGCTTGACCAGGTGTGGGTTCCAGACTGGTGCTGCATACTCCAGTGTGTGTGTGTGTGTGTGTGTGTGTGTGTGTGTGTGTGTGTGTGTGTGTGTGTGTGTGTGTGTGTGTGGGTGGGTGTGGTGTGTGTATGTGTGTGTGTGTGTGTGTGTGTGGGGTGTGTGTGGGTGTGTGTGGGTGTGTGTGTGTGTGTGTGTGTGTGTGGGTGTGGATGTGGGTGTTTGGGTGTATTGAGTATGTACTCATCTAATTGTGGTTTCAGGGGTCGATTCATAGCTCCTGACCCCACCTCTTCCTTCTATGTGTGTGTGTGTGTGTGTGTGTGTGTGTAGGTATGTGTGTGTGTGTTTACTCGACGAGTTATACTTACCCAGCTGTGTTTGGAGGAGTTGAGACTCAGCTCTTGACCCCACCTCAGTAACTATTTTGATCGTTATTACTGATTTCCGACCTTTTGGTCCTTTTCGTATCTACTCTTGAAGCAGTGTATTCAGTGTATTCAGTGTACTCGCCTATTTGTGGTTGTAGGGATATATTCACAGCTCCTGGCCCCACCTCTTTACATGTATACTACTAGGTCCACTCTCCCCCTCCTCCAAGAGCCTTATCGTACCTGTTTGTGTGCATGTGTGTGTGAGTGTCATCTATCATCCAGATCTGAAAATTGTTTATTCTCACATAACTTAGTTTCTAAAACACCAGTAAACAAGAAAGGGAAAAAAACACCATCTGGAATATCTGGCGATAGTTAATGAAACCAATAAAACGTCAAACATTAATTTTATACATAGAAAGCTTTGCTCTTAACGAGGCGATTTGGCCGTTAATGACCCTAATTACTCATAACTAATTACCAGCTGGATTAATTTAGTAGTCCAGTGGTGCAAACTGCAGCGAGGCCATATCTGCAGATGCAACACCTGTAACATAAGCAACACCTGTAACATAAGCAACACCTGTAACATAAGCAACACCTCACAAAAGCAACACCAGCAATAGATATATACCTGCCTTATTCACCTAGTAGATATAAAGTAGAAATTTAGAAAGTATCTGAGATGGCAGTAGAGATAACACACGACGTACAAGACGTAACATTGAGTGAGGAGAAACGTAGATCTTGGAAGATAATTTCTTTACACTCGTTGTCAGATGGCTCGCTGTGTCAGATGGCTCGCTGTGTCAGATGGCTCGCTGTGTCAGATGGCTCGCTGTGTCAGATGGCTTGCTGTGACAGATGGCTCGCTGTGACAGATGGCTCGCTGTGTCAGATGGCTCGCTGTGTCAGATGGCTCGCTGTGTCAGATGGCTTGCTGTGACAGATGGCTCGCTGTGACAGATGGCTCGCTGTGTCAGATGGCTCGCTGTATCAGATGGCTCGCTGTGTCAGATGGCTCGCTGTGTCAGATGGCTCGCTGTGACAGATGGCTCGCTGTGTCAGATGGCTCGCTGTGACAGATGGCTCGCTGTGTCAGATGGCTCGCTGTGTCAGATGGCTCGCTGTGACAGATGGCTCGCTGTGTCAGATGGCTCGCTGTGTCAGATAGCTCGCTGTGTCAGATAGCTCGCTGTCAGATGGCTCGCTGTGTCAGATGGCTCGCTGTGTCAGATGGCTTGCTGTGACAGATGGCTCGCTGTGACAGATGGCTCGCTGTGTCAGATGGCTCGCTGTATCAGATGGCTCGCTGTATCAGATGGCTCGCTGTATCAGATGGCTCGCTGTGTTAGATGGCTCGCTGTGTCAGATGGCTCGCTGTGACAGATGGCTCGCTGTGTCAGATGGCTCGCTGTGACAGATGGCTCGCTGTGTCAGATGGCTCGCTGTGACAGATGGCTCGCTGTGTCAGATGGCTCGCTGTGACAGATGGCTCGCTGTGTCAGATGGCTGGAGTGAAAAAAATAGAAATAGAATGCACAATGGTAGAGACACCACAAACATTAGGTTTGTTTAAAAACATAATTTCACTCGCACAGGAGCTGTGACTCGACCCCTGCAACCACATAAAGGTAAGTACAGCAGCGGATAAAAACTCGTTGAGGTCTTTTGTCATGATGGTCTTCGCCTTGTAAAGGATCCTCAAAGTTCCGTGCCAACAATATAAAAAAAAAATCTCACGAAATGGCCTAACGATTTTCAATATTGTTTTCACACGGCAGTTGTGGAGCTGTGGCAGGTGAGACAGGTGCCTGCTGTCACCTGCTGTCACCTGCTGTCACCTGCTGTCACCTGCTGTCACCTGCTGTCACCTGCTGTCACCTGCTGTCACCTGCTGTCACCTGCTTTTCACCTAATATCACATATCTTCACTGAAGTTTATCTGTCTCTTCATCTTACGTTGTATTCACGTAACCTCTCAAAATTTTCTCTTATTCTCGCTATTGTTATCTATTCATCACACAGCATTCACCTCACCTCACCCACCCCCCTCATTACCACCTCATCACCTCCACCCACCCCCCTTATTACCACCTCCTCACCTCACCTCACCCCCCCTCATTACCACCTCATCACCTCACCTCACCCCCCCTCATTACCACCTCATCACCTCACCCACCCCCCTTATTACCACCCTCCTCACCTCACCTCACCCCCCCTCATTACCACCTCATCACCTCACCTCACCCCCCCTCATTACCACCTCATCACCTCACCTCACCCCCCCTCATTACCACCTCATCACCTCACCCACCCCCCTTATTACCACCTCCTCACCTCACCTCACCCCCCCTCATTACCACCTCATCACCTCACCTCACCCCCCCTCATTACCACCTCATCACCTCACCTCACCCCCCCCTCATTACCACCTCATCACCTCACCTCACCCCCCCTCATTACCACCTCCTCACCTCACCTCACCCCCCCCTCATTACCACCTCATCACCTCACCTCACCCCCCCTCATTACCACCTCCTCACCTCACCTCACCCCCCCCTCATTACCACCTCATCACCTCACCTCACCCCCCCCCTCATTACCACCTCATCACCTGTCGATTATTTTCAATGGCCAAGTACCTGTCTTCACCTGACCTCACGTAACCTTTTATATTTTTTTTTTACATGCCTTAACCAATTTTCATTTTCATCGTCTGTTTGAGACAGAGAGAGAGAGAGGGAGAGAGAGAATTAGAGAGAGTGACAGAGAGAGGGAGAGACAGCTCTCGCAGCATCACCTCACATCTCACTTTGATCTTATCACAAACTATTTAAAGACTCTCTTGAATTCCAGTTTATTCAAATAATTACTATTCTTTTAAATAAAATTGTCATAAACTGGAACACATCATGTTTTTTTTTATCTAAAAAGAGATGGTTCCGGCGTCGTTACAAATATATTTGTAAAGCATTTGTAAAATTAAATTTTTTTTTTGGTTGGGGGATACTGCAAGAGATGGAACTTAGTATTATGGGCCAAAATCTCCACAGAATGGGCCGTCATATGGCTGAATCCCCCGTCAAGAGGATTTTTACCATTTCTCCTGACAAATAAAACACCGCCGTGTTTGAAATTGTTGTGTTTATTTAGCATATAATAAAGAAGGTACCGAAAGATGGCCGGGAGACATGCGAGCATCATCAGTACAAACGGAAGATGAGAGAGTAAGATTTCTGGGCGAGTTTCAGTATCGCAGGTTAAGTGTTGAGGTATGAACCAGGGTGATGGCTTGGAAAGGTATGATTGCAGAAAAAAAAAATAACGAAACGATCGTCTTACCAAGAAAGTCGATTGTAAACTCGTTGTTGCAATAACTCCCAGAATGTCAAGTCTGAACATCATGATATTGATACGTTTTATTGATGTACAGTGTCTCCCTTTCCCCTCTTCATTGTTTTTACCCTTTTTTCCATATTTCTCACCCCCTCTCTCCTTCTGTCTTACCCTTCTCCGTCACTCTCACCCGCTTCTCTCTGTCTGTAGACGAGGACAACGAAGCTGGTCTGCCTGACGTAGCTCAAGACGCCTGCCAGCGTCTTGCAGCACCGCTCGCCCAGATGCCTGAAGGTCTCAGCGTTGGCGACTTCATTAAAGAAAACATCCTAAAGGTCAGTTTGTGGTACGCTTTATATATTCAGGTAAAGGTCTCTTGAGCCAAGGATTCAGAGCTACCCTAAAAAAAATCTTCGGATCAAGCCTCTAATTCCGACAGACATCAAGAAGCTGAAATCTATTTTCCACAAGTCTTCATTAAAGATTAGCAGGAGTCATAGGAAGGTCTTCAGAAGGGTAGGATGGCACTCGAGGTGAAGTGGTCTTCTTGCCCATAATAATTCTTCTCCAGGGCCGACCACGCCGTGGTTAGAGCTGCAGTTAGAAATACTCAGAGGTTACCGGATGGACATAAATATAGATTGAAGGAGCCAACAGAGAAAGAGTCAAGCACTGTCATGAATCTTTGCTTTGAAAGTGATTTCATTGTTGCTACACAGTACAAGAAAATCATTACATATTAACAAAAAGACTCAAAAGAATCTCACGTAAAACCAGATGTATATAATTGCCAGGTGTGGTTGACGGTAAAGGAAGTAATACCCCTTTCCGGGCCACAGATGAACGCAGAAACATGGGAGAATTCCCATTGTACCAGAACACTTGAAGACACGAACTCTGAAACACAGGTACGGCTCATGTACCGCACATTTACAGTAAGATAAACAAAGGGGGTGACGAAATCAAAGTAAAAAGGCCTAATCCAAAAAAGAATATTGTTTTGTCCTTTTGCACGAGTTACAACACTCGTCGGCTGCAACGTATCGTAATTTTTTTTAGATAACTACCATTGTGATTTTTATACCTTTTGTCAATAGTTAAATATACGTTACAAAACAATAAAACTTATTTTTTTTAGTTTGTTACCTTTTTTATGATTATTAACTTACCAGATGAGGTTAAAGAAATCATAGGTTTTTAGCCCCTCTGAGCATTAGTGTTCAGCTTTGTTTCGGTTTTATTTTTAGCAAATTTGGGGATAAGTGTCTCACAGATAACCTATCTCACTCTCCTGCAGGTGGACCAATGCACCAGATGAATCAGAAAGGTGACCACTTCATCTCTTGCAGGTGGACCAAATGGACCAAATGATCCAGATGTGACCTCTGCATCTCTCTCCTCTGCAGGTGGACCAAATGGACCAGACATATTAGGAAGGCGACCACTACAGCTCTCTCTCTCCTGCAGGTGGACCAAATGGACCAGCTGGACCAGGAAGGTGACCACTACAGCTCTCTCTCTCCTGCAGGTGGACCAGTGCCACCAGGATGTTGACGACGTCAGGCACTACAACGTGCAGGGAGATGAGATGTCAGCAGCCTCTCTCTCCTCCCTGGCCTCAGGTCAGCATCATCATCCTCAGCCAACCTCTCTTATTATTATTTATTATTATTATTGTTAGTGTTGCTATATTTGTTTTATTATTATTAGTTTTATTACTTTAAAACTGTTAGGGTCAAAGACAGCCTGGGAAACAGAAGTCAGGAACAGTAGTGTAGCGTCAAGGCCCCATGTTTCGTCCCGTCCTAAAGGGGTTTGTTTCTCACTAGTTTCCCCGTAAACAGCTCAATAAATCCTAATTTCATTGGTGTTTTTATTTGCATTTTGCTTATTTTATCTCTTGGCAGTCGAACTTAAGTTGTCGTGGGAGGTAGGGAGTGAAGGTAGCTATGGCCCTCCATCGCTGGAGGGAGGAAGTGGAGGTCGCTATTGCCCTCCATCGCTGAATGGGGGGAATGGAAGCTGTTAAGATTCTCCATCATTGACCATATTGACAGGCACTCTGTAAGATACTTAATTTGCTGAACTGCGCAGTTACCGCGGAGTATCTGGCTCTCCAGCTGCTAACGAGCATCTGTGATGATTGCTGTAAAGGATTCCAATACCCACTAACGTTTTGTGAATCCACCGTTCCCGGCCGGTGTCCATGTTGTCCCTCTTGCTGGAACAGGTCGCTTACCCGTCAGTGATCCCTTCAAGGATCTCTTATATGAGAGCGATTCCTTATCCGTCAGTAATTCCACACTGGTACTCGTCCCCATCTAACACACATGAGTGTACGAACTCCTTAGAAAGAGTCTGAGAACGAGGTCATAATCGAACTTCTCCCGATATGGAGATTATAATATACTCTTTCTTTCGCCATTGATTCTACGTTAAGGCCGATTGTTAATTATTTCAAGGCAGAGAATGGCCAAAACTTTAAGAGTTGGCACTGCCACCGAGACTAGATGATCTTACTTTATAACCTTACATCAAGGTTAGGAAGAGCTTTCATAGTGGTGACTTTACTCCAAGGACGTAGCTCTAAGGTAGCTTATCTTCAAAGATAAGATAATCTTGCAATAGCATTACCGTAAACAGGTGATATTACAATATGCAAAACCACTGTGGAAAAAAAAATAATGAACTTCGAAGCGCTTTCGTGGCTTCTCACATCAAGGACCTAATAATGTGGGAAATCACGAAAGCACCTGGAAGTTCACTATTTCTTCACAATGGTTGTTTTGCATAAAATAATCGTGTTTCATACCTACATTACCTTAATAAGATTATCTTCCTTCGTGGTGATCTTAAAGTACAACTAAGATAATTTTTGGTGTGTTATTATATCTTTAAAGACAATTATCTAGCATGGTGATAACCTCAGCTCAAAAACAGAATTCTCTTCCAGTGTGCCAAACCCTCCTTAAAAGTAGAATCAAATAGTTTTAGACGAGACTCTTCACAAACCTAGGAAAAAATTGCTTTATGGTACCACCACGGCTCACTAAATCGTAATAATAAACCTTTAAACAAACCACGGAACGGTGGAGTTTGAAACCATGAGCCAGCTGACCCAGTAGCTTACGAACTGGCCAGGGGGTTTAACGAATCAATCGTCATGGGTTAAAATCCCCACCAGTTCCGTGGTTTTCTCTGTGGTAACTTTATCTCAAAGACAAACCCAAGATGACCTTGTTTAGTGGTAACCTCACCCAAGTGAGACAAATGGTGGCCTATGTCTGAAAGCGAGGAGAGCGCTGAGGTAATATACATAAATTAGGGGTTGGTTTTCAAGTCCTGGAGGGGAGGAAGACGAGTTATAAACTGTTCTATTCACTTAAAGGAGAAGATAAAGTGGGTGTTATGATCTGGCAACTTGAAGGGAATATAAAGTGGGTGTTATTATTCTCTAGTAACGTGAAGGGCTGATGGAGTGGGTATTATGCTGCAACAACGTTAAGGAGGAACGGAGTGGTATTAGCAACGAAGTAGGAATGGAGTGACGTTAACAACGAAGGAAGAATGGAGTGGATTATGTTGTAGCAACGTAAAGGGGGATGTGGACTGGGTACTAATATGTTCCCCTGACTCGAGGGGAAGATAAAGTTGTGTTATTATCCTTGAACAAAATAAAGGCGAAATGTCGACACATGTGTGAAAATGTGTTGGGACAATGTTTCGCTCAGGTGTCTTTATAAGGGAAAATGAACTGGGTGATACAAAGTTCAAGCAATTTGAGGTGAGTTATGAAGAGTGGATGTTTTTTTCTTCACATGGGAGAAGTGAAACTGCAAGTGTTAGAGGGTAAATAAGGATCTGGGGGTAAATATAACACCAAGCTTATCACCAGAAACTCGTATAAACCATGTAACGTCAGGCGTGTGTGTGTGTGTGTGTGTGTGTGTGTGTGTGTGTGTGTGTGTGTGTGTGTGTGTGTGTGTTGTGTGTGTGTGTGTGTGTGTGTGTGTAAGACTTGCAAACCTCATGTCAGCATTCAGGAACTTGAACAAAGAGTTCTTCAGAGCATTACATACTAAACAAGTCAGACCACTTATCGAGTACGTGGCCCCATCACGGAGCCCACACCCGGTCGACCATATTTCGTTCGAAATGCTTCAAAGGTTTTCAACCAAAATACAACCAGAACTGAAAGAAATGCACTGTGAGGACAGGTTGACAGAAATGAACCTGACAACCTTGGTGGAGAAAAGATCAAAGGGAGATAAGATTACGACATAAAAAGTCCTGAGGGAAAATTGACTGGGCAGATAGGGATAGACTGAATTACGAGGAACAGAATCAAAGTAACAAGACGAAGCTGAAGACACAGATAAACCACAGGGATGTCAGGAAGTACTTACTCAGTCTCAGGGTGGCTAATAAGTGGGATGACTTATATGTAAGCAAACTCAATACACAGCTTCAAAACTAGATATTATGAGGACCAAAGTAGTCTAGGAGGGGTGGAGACCAGGAGCTCGACCCCCTCAAACACAGCTCGGAGTACACACACACACACACACACACACACACACACACACACACACACTCACGTACATTCAATCATAAATTTCCTTTAGAATTTCGTTGATTCTAACCAGAACTGAAAATCGGGATTCCCTGTCGTATTTTTACCTCCGGACAAGTTGTTGGAATTAAATTTAAAGGAAAGGAAGAGAGGGAGGGGAAGGAGGGATTTAGAAGGAAGGGAGTGAAGGAAATGGGAGGGAGCGAAGGAAGCAGGAGGAAGAGAGGAAGGTAGGAGGGAGGGAGGGAGAAAGGGAGGTAGAATGGGGCGGAGAGAAAGGTAGAAGGGAGAGAGGCGGAGGGGAGGGAGGCATAAAAGGGGAAGGGGGAGGTGGAGTTAAGAGATAAAGAGAAAGAGGATGTTGGTAACTAGGGAAAAAGAAAGGGAGGTTGAGGGAGGGAGATAGAGATGGAGTGGGAGTAGGAATGAAGAGGGAATGGATACAAAGAGAGAGAGAGATAGAGAGAGAGAGGTGATGGAAGATTAATAAAGAGAGGGAGAGAAAGAGAATAAGAGTGATGAAAAGCGAAAAAAAATATCTCGAGTCACTCGACCTGGTTTGACCTGTCATCTCAAGCCACTCGAAGTGTCTTGACCTCTGATCTTAGAAGGTAATAAGGAAAATGAGTTCTAAGAAGAGGTCACCTCGCTTTCTCCTCATAAATGTGCACACACACCTGTTCCATACGTATATACATTTCTCCATACATAAGTATATATCTCCATAGTACATACATTACTTTATAGGTACTTTCATAGATCCATACGTTCATAACTGATAAGCATGCACACACACACACACGTTACTCCATACATACACACAATGCTCCATACATAAACTACACATACCTACATAGCTCCACACATATATCACCATATGTACACGAATTCCCAAAAAGTACATACAGTATATGTACTGGACTATATATATATATATATATATATATATATATATATATATATATATATATATATATATATATATATATATATATATATATATATATATATATATATAGGTTCATATCACATAATACACACGTTGCATCATACGAACGCACATAACACGATATGTACACACAAACTCGTTATACATGTAATTCACCACACATTGACACACACACATTGTGTACCTAACACCACACGCACACACCCTGCATGTCAGGGGACATGAGCACACACCCTGCATGTCAGGGGACATGAGCACACACCCTGCATGTCAGGGGACATGAGCACACACCCTGCATGTCAGGGGACATGAGCACACACCCTGCACACCGTCAGGTCACCTCAATGGATGAAAACATTCAGCTCAGCCGGGGCGGCGCCCCCCTGCAACAGGTGCATCGATTTTTTCATAAACTTGTATTAAAAAGTTACTGATGCTCTTAATAGGCATCTTCTGCCGGACGGTCGATTTAATTTTGTTCCTTGAAGAGGAGGGAAAGATGGAGTGTGGAGGAGACGATGAGACGAGGTGGAGGAGACGGTCAGATGAGGTGGAGGGGAAACAGTTGGTATGGTTACTGAGTAAAGAGTAGAAGTAAGGGAGGAGTGAAGATGATCTGGAGGTAGTGGAACGAGAGAAGAACGGGGTGAAAATGGATGAATTTAGTTGAGATATACTTTTCAGCATCTGTCGAGTTTTTATATACACTGATAGGGACAGCCTTTACACCTGCCATTAACCAGGATTTATACACCATCTTCATCAACCTATCTTCCTTCTTTCTACTAGATCAAACCATACCTTTTTTTCATTCCCTGAATTGTCTCTTTCAATCCCTGTAATTTCCTCATTCGCTATCCTACGTATAACAGTCACACAACACATTGATCGCAAGACACTGCCTCCAGCTTCATTCCTACTCTGCCTATATATAATCATCAACATTGTTATACGCTGAATTATCTCGATGTATTCCTCTTAAAGCTAACAGAACTATAGTAATCAAATTGACAAACTTTTCTTCCATCCGACTTCTCAACACTTCGTCTTCATGGCGTATAGAGGTAGGAAAAAAAAAGTTTTTGAAGTCCTTTATTGGGAATTTTTTTCCGATATTTGTAGAGTTTTATCAATTAATAACATCGATAAGATCCACGCAGAGCCAAACGTTGTCCTAATAAAAGCTTGTTTTGCAATTTTTGTCTGCCATCACTCTCTTTCCAGCGACCGTCGACAGAATTTCTGCCGTGAAATTTTACCGGGTAATATTAACAGGCTTATTGATTTTATATTTCTTACGGCTTTTCCTACCCTATTTTCCACTGAACAATGGCACTGCACATATCTACCAATCCTTGGGAACCTTCCCTTTCTTCATACACTGAACACAAATGCACCAATCATTCCAATATTTCACCCTTGTCTGCTTCCAGCATGTTGGACGCATCGCTTCCGTCCTCTTCCACTTCTTTACATTCTTTCTCGGTCACTCGTTTACACTGATAATAATATCTCCATTATTTCGTCTATGGTTCATTAGCGTTTTAGCGTATTCTTGTCTCTCCAGAGCTAGTTCTAATCTCTCATGTGTGTTACTAGTTAATGGTCCATGTAAGTGAAACTGTGAGAGTTATTTGTGTATTGCCCACTTCAGATCATACCACGGGCAGGGTTAGAACCCGCGATCAGAGAGTCTCAAAACTCCAGACCGTCCTGTTAGCCACTGGGCCAGCTAGCCACAATAACCTTCCTATGGTGTATAAATATACCTAGTTGGATGAATCATATTGTGGCTAGTTGGCTCAGTGGCTAACGCGACGGTCTAGAGTTTTGAGGTTTTCTGATCGTGGGTTCTATCCCCACCCGTGTATTGGTTTCTTTGCAATCGTGTCATTACGATTTCGTGAGTCTTTCCCACTTCCCTTCGTAACACAATCTATTTATTTCTTTATCTCGAAAACATTTAACCCATACGACTCACGGAATCGTAATGACATGATTGCAAACAAACCATACCACGGGCGGGGATAGAACCCGCGATCAGAGAGTCGGTCTGGAGTTTTATGACTCTGATCGCGAGTTCTATCCCCCATACTCTATGCACAATTTTATCATCTTTTTTGTACTAATGCCTGTCTGAATATTTTTATTGGAAAAAACAATGTTCTTTAGCGCATTTCCACCTCACCACACATAAAAATATCCAAAAAATACATAAAAGCTCATCTACACATACATTCAAACATAAAATTTAATTGAAGACCAATTGTATTGCTAAAGCTATAAAAGGAGAATGGGAGCAAAACGCCCCATTAAGCAACACTGAGCCATCTTGACTCAGGAAGTTTAGTAATAAAAATATCTTTTATTGACGAATCAGCGAGATACAGTTGTTTCTGGAGCAATAACTACTCTTTAAATACTCTGAGGATAAAAATTTAGACACGTGTGCAACATCTGGGTATCTTTATTATAGACGTTTCGCCATCCAGTGGCTTTATCAATGCAGATTCTAGGACATGATTGGAAGACATGAATGGTGTTGTATACCTTTCATGAATGGTATACAATACCATGAATGGTATACAATACCATGAATGGTATACAATACCATGAATGGTATACAATACCATGAAAGGTATACAATACCATGAATGGTATACAATACCATGAAATGTATACAATACCATGAATGGTATACAATACCATGAAAGGTATACAATACCATGAATGGTATACAATACCATGAATGGTATACAATACCATGAATGGTATACAATACCATGAAAGGTATACAATACCATGAATGGTATACAATACCATGAATGGTATACAATACCATGAATGGTATACGATACCATGAATGGTATACGATACCATGAATGGTATACGATACCATGAATGGTATACAATACCATGAAAGGTATACAATACCATGAATGGTATACGATACCATGAATGGTATACGATACCATGAATGGTATACAATACCATGAATGGTATACAATACCATTTAATGGTATACAATACCATGAATGGTATACAATACCATGAATGGTATACAATGCCATGAAAGGTATACAATACCATGAATGGTATACAATACCATGAAAGGTATACAATACCATGAATGGTATACAATACCATGAAAGGTATACAATACCATGAATGGTATACAATACCATGAATGGTATACAATACCATGAATGGTATACAATACCATGAAAGGTATACAATACCATGAATGGTATACAATACCATGAATGGTATACAATACCATGAATGGTATACAATACCATGAATGGTACACAATACCATGAATGGTATACAATACCATGAATGGTATACAATACCATGAATGGTATACAATACCATGAATGGTATACAATACCATGAATGGTATACAATACCATGAATGGTATACAATACCATGAATGGTATACAATACCATGAATGGTATACAATACTATGAATGGTATACAATACGTGAATGGTATACAATACCATGAATGGTATACAATACCATGAATGGTATACAATACCATGAATGGTATACAATACCATGAATGGTATACAATACCATGAATGGTATACAATACCATTTACAACTCTGATTATAACAGTAAAGATTATTCTTATGATCCCTGTAGAGAGAATCCTTCTAAACACTCTTAGGGTAATAATCGTATGAGTTATTAAGATTATCCTTATAAAGGTAATCGCTATTCTATAAACTTTTAGAAATGACGGTTTTTTAGGATTATTAATGTGGGTTAAGAATCTGGCATAAATTACTTAAAAGAAAATACTCGTTAGAATTATTGTTATAATAACGACTGGTTTGAGAATGAGTATTCACAGTTTGTCAGTAAATGCTGAGGATCATTGGTTTAGCGATCAAACCAAAAATATATTGATAATTATTTAAATAATGTCGCTAGAGATGAATCTGTATTTTACTGAGAGGCAAACTAATTTGTGAATATTATTATTCCTACACTACCAAAATTAGCAAAATTAATACCAGATATGATGGTAAATGTTGAAGCATTTCCACACCAGCATCCCGGTCATCTCACCAACACCTCACCAACATCCGCCACTGTCTTATCAACAACTCCTCACCATCATCTTCCACCATCTCACCAACAACACCTCACCATCATCTTCCACCATCTCACCAGCACCACCTCATTATCATCATCCACCATTTCACCAACACCACCTCATCATCATCATTCACCATTTCACCATCATCCTCCAACATTTTCTCACCAACACCACCTTACTAACACATCCACCTCTAAAATCTGGTAGGCACCTGACCTCTCGTAATACCCAGAATGTAACTTTCACATTACTTATCACTGCTACATTCGTATCAACCCGCACTGCTTCACTAGGTTTAACTCGTATTTAATCGCATAACTTTCCTGATCTATATTCGTTCATAATTGCACCGTTTCCTGTTCTATACTAGTACCACTCTCCACTATTTTTGGGGACTAAGCACGTATTAAACTGTCCTAC